TGTCATTATTAGATTTATTTCTTGTAATATGGTGTAAATATCTCTGCGGAACATCAGTCGAAAATGTAAGGATTTTAAACCATATAACATTCACTTAAAATTTAAGCCCAAATTTGAACTTTAGAACCAAGAATAGAGCCGATTCTTAAAAGCCTGGCAACACAATGCAAGGCAGTGTCAGTGCCCATAGGTGGTGGTATCACTTAACATTAGATGAGCCTGCCCGTTTGTCCCCTGTTCAACAAAAACAATATTACATTACTTTTAGTAATCATACATTGAAAACATATGTTATAAAAAAAGTACCTTTGCTTTATCCACCAATAACAGTTAGTCAAAACAAATATCAGAATCGAGACATTAAAATAATTCTTCACATAGTCGCTTGGCACCCGTGCGAACTTCGCTTGATACACGATGCTTCCAACTCCATATACGTAAATCAAAAGTAGCGCAGTTCCAATCCAAAACGGGACTACAGTATAAAAATATTATTTTAGATAAAAAACCAGGTCTTCATTTCTGTAACTGTTTCGACGTCAGTTTATTTCTAGGCATATAGGTGATAAGCTAAGATTAAGGTCTATTAATTAACGATGTCCTTCACCGGACGAGCGAGAAAATCTATTGGTGCACAGTGGTGTTTCGATCGCACGACATCAGAGTTCAAAGGCACTATATAACATGGGAAAAGCGCACAACGGACAAAATGGGCGTCTAAGTGCGAAAACTGAGTCGACACTACTACATACAACACGAGAAACTTTACATTTTACATTTAGTGCGCAATATTTGTAAATATTAGTAATAGTTATTATATATATTTTAAAAAACTTAAATTGCTCCCATCGGTGTTTTTGTTCTTGGAACTAAACGGAAGTAGGAACTACATTGTTCCAATGGCACTTTCTATAAACAGAATTTTGTGGATAAATTTATACTTGAATGTAACAAACATACATTACTATTGTCAGAGTTACAACTTAAAGGCCTACGGATCCGTAGGAATGCTAGATTGGTTGTTATCTAAGTAAATCCAGCCAATACAATCACTAAACATATCTAGCAAATCTCACATATGAATTTAAGCACTATATACCCATTTATCACTAAGGTAACATGATAATCTATAAATTACAGTAGCCGAATCACGAATGGGATTTCGATTTGACAGGGGCTCCCTAGTGTGGGGACTAGCGATAGAAGATTTTTGTCACAACCATATTTCTGTCGTGAATAAAGTTGTTATTATTATTATCATTTATTTTAAAACATTAAATTATAGGGATTATTATTAAGGTTTATATTAAAGTAATGATTATACAATATCACTTTACTTTCTTTTTCAATTAAATTTTCAACTAATTCTTTACGAAAATACATATTGTATCATTAAGTTCCACTGTATTCCACAACTATTTTTTTCTTTTTACCATTTAGTCTAGATGAAAACGATTTTGTATTAATCTACCTAATTAATAAGTACTTATATGAGAAAATTTTATTTATATTTAGTTAGAAGTATATCTTCTTATTAAATATATAAAAACATTATTATTTATTTAGCGCGGGAGAGTATTTAGACCACAAGTTTTGACAAGAATTATAAATAACTTAACGGCTATTATTATTACATTATGATAATTAATGACATTTGCATACCTATTTTTATATGGCTGATTTTGCGGTTTTTATAATTCATCAATCAAATTGTACTTCTTTGCAAAAAAACTTTTTTATTTATTAACCGTAGGGGATTATTTAGATCATAAGTTTTAACAACAGTTAAAAATAATTTAACTGCTATTATTATGACATTATGATTATTAATATGCTATTATTTTGTAACCATTGGAATACAAAATTTGGCAGGTCTTAGAGAAGAAGGTCTTTGCTATACCACATAAAAATTTGGAGAGTCTGACGTCATATTTAAATAAATCAGTCACTGAAATCGACATGAATATTGTGCGTACTGCGATAGACGACTGTTTTTTTGTGTGGCCAGTTTTAAAAATAAGGGATGTCATTTCGAATAATTTTATGCTATTTCTATTTCTTAACTAATGTACTATAAATTGATATATCACTAATAACTGATAAGTACTTTTGTTTTTATCATTATTTCCATTTATGACAGAACTTTGGGACCGACTACGTATAATACTACATATACACTCGCGAGCAAACAAATCGACTCAAGCGCTACCTCTGCATTCAAAGATTGTTTTAAGTGAAAGTATACAACATTTTAATAAAAATGATATGTCATTTGAAAGCTTAAAACTTCAGCTTTTATGAGATGTCATCATTATTAATATCCACGTATCCTTTTTTTTATTATTGGTGTCTGAACTTAAATGGGGGAAAAATGGGATTTTGGGTAAAGGAGTTGTGTTCAGAATTGACAAATAAAACACGTTTTTTTTTCTTAAAGAGTATAAAATTTATTGGTTCACTAATTGGTACTGCCCCCCTAGCCCTAATTACAGCCCGTATTCGGTTCTTCATCGGCCTTATTCATTTTTTGACGGTGTCTTGAGGAATACCTTCCCCCTGCTCTAAGAAAGCTGCTTTCAATTCTTCAAGGCTCGAATGGGCTGGATTTCTTGCTCGTACCCTTTGTTTGAGCTCATCCCATAAATGCTCGACGGGATTTATGTCTGGACTGAGCGCAGGCCAGTCCATTGTGCGCAAATCGACTTCTCGAAGAAACTGCTGAGTAACGCGCGCTGTGTGGCATCGAGCATTGTCATGCATTAGGATGAAGTCTTCGTCAACAAATCCTGCGTAGGGCACAACATGTTCCAGGAGAATATTTGTGATGTACCCATCAGCTGTCAGTCCTGCTCTTCGGCCTACTCCAGGCACGAAAACGAGCTGGGTTTTACTCTCCAACGAGATACCAGCCCACATCATGCAAGAACCGCCACCATAGGCAACGATTTCTGCGAATCAGAATTAGGAAAATCACTCTCCCGGACGCCTGTAGACCCGGCCTCTCCTGTCACTGCCATGCATACACATTCTGCACTCGTCAGTCAACAGGATCGAGCGCCATTGCCCAATGCTCCAGTTAAAATGCTCTTGAGCAAACTGTAGCCGAACTTGCCGGTGGCCTGCAGTCAATTTGGGGCCCGTTGCAGGCCTTTTTGGAGTCAGGTTGGCTTCCTTCAGACGTCTTCTTGCTATCCACTCGCTGACAGCTATACCTCGAACACGTCTCAGCTCGCCCTGCACGTCGACACCAGTAAGGTGCCCTTTTCGCAGGGAGGTTAAGACAATGATACGGTCGTCTCGTTCAGAAGTACAACGGTGGCGGCTGGTTGTTGGTCTCCGAGTGGATGCTCCAGTCTCTTGTCTATCGTCTGTATACTCGGAATACAGCAGATTGACTCAAGTGAAGCTGGGAAGCGACTACTCGCTGACTGAGTCCTTGTTGCAAAAAGGCAAAAACTTGAGCGGCTTCTTGAGGTGTGGCATCCATGGTTTCTTGAAAACAATGATTGCAGGTTGCGAAGATGTGTATCGGTCAACGGTTGATAAGCGACTAATAAAGGTTGAACGGTAACGGGGGTTTTATATGGGTAGAGGGTAGCGCATCTGGCTGGTAGCGTAGTGAGTAATTTGTCCCATACGCCCTCATTGCGCAAATTAACATGTTGGTAGTCGTTTTATTTAATCGTGTTGATGTTTTTTTGAAAGCTTAGGTTTCAAGCTTTCAAATGACATATCATTTTTATTAAAATGTTGTATACTTGCACTTAAAACAATCTTTGAATGCAGAGGTAGCGCTTGAGTCGATTTGTTTGCTCGCGAGTGTAGATGATTTTAGACTTCCAATAAAACATATTAAAACCCATACCAAACACTTTATCCCGTTCTAAAGAAAATCCAAGGAGCTTAGGCACTATATTAACGAACCATAAGATGTTTTCAATACGGTTTCCTTTTAGGTGATTTTTGGTTTCGATAATAAAATTTGATAATTTAAAAACCATATTAACGAGCTACCTTCAGAAATACTAAATCACAATAGGCGATATAGCTTTAATTATCTTTATTAATACCTATATAAGAATTTTCTACCTATAATTATAATTTAGACTAATTAATGCTCCTTATACGGTCTGCATAAAAATTAGTTAATCCGAAGCCCTTGTTTTTTTTTGGAGAACATGGGTCAACGGGAAAGAGACTCACCTGATGCTAACATCAAGCCACTTATGGACACTCTCAATACTAGACGGCTCGCGAGTAGAGAATGGGTACGCTCTTTTCTTGAAGGGCCCTAAGTCGAGTTAGGAAATACTTCAGTGGGCAGGTGGTTCCACATAGTGGTGGTGTGCGGAAGAAACCTTGGGAATAAGTAGTTTCGTACAGCTTTAAGTTTCGGGTTTAATTACCGGTCGGCATGTTTATTTGTTGTCAGCTCGTCAAAAAGTATTTCCACCAAAATATTTGTTATAATCTAATAAAAAAAATCAGTGGCGCTACAATATTTTTAGGTCTTGGCCTTAGATTTCTGTATCTGTTTCATGATCATTTGTCAATCTAATAGGCAAGTAGGTGATCGGACTTCTGTGCCTGACACACGCTATCGACTTTTTGGATCTAAGGCAATGTTTTTCTTCACCGTTCGAGCGAATGTTAAATGCGCACATAGAAAGTCCATTGGTGCACATGGAACCTACGACCTCAGGGATGAGGGTCGCACGCTGAGGCCACTAGGCCAACACTGCTCTGTTACACACTAATAGTAATTTAAATTAGTAAAGTCGTAAAAACATTAATAATACAATAAAATTGGATATATCGTAAGCAATTACGGTATATTTTTTAAATTAACAATAATTTAGAATTCGCACACTAGAATTACATTAATAAATTTATACTTACTTATTAGCTCAGTGCGAAGAAATTATATAGCACCTTCAAATGTGACGAGAAACTTTATTTAATATCGATATACAAAAACCCAGTAATTGTTATTCAATTATTTAAAATTTCACAATAGTTATGAACTTATACAAAAATTGTATCGTCGTTGCGAATGTATAAATATTTATCGGTACTATGTCAGCCGCTAACAATTCTATCGGTTTTTGGGCTTGCAGCAGAATTATATAGACAATTTTCATTTCCTTAATATTATACTTTTCCCAGCCACATGCATAAACCGAGCGCTCGAACATTTCCGACGCGTCGATTAACTTCTGACAGAGATAGCAGTACAAAAAGAATACAAAGAAACAGTAAATAAGAAAAGGACAAAAGTCTATCCATTCTTCAGTAGGTAAATAAAAAAAGAGTGCAATACAAACAGTGTTTAGGCCAAAATTAACACCCATAGGAAAGCTGTAGAGAGATTGAAGGTTCTTTATAATATCCAAAGTGAGGACGTGGCGGAAAATCAGGGATGGGAGCTTCGTTTTGATTCCTTGGTAACGATTTTCATCGAACACTGGAGCATCTAGTTGCTGCATCTCTTCGGCTAGGAGACGGTACATAGTGGCTGTGTGAGAGATCAACATCAGTTGAAGGGTCTGGTAGTTCAAGTCTATAATTACTAAAATGACTTCTTGTATGAATAGGATTGTTTTACAGATTTGCCGGTTCGGTGTTGCTGATAGTGGCTCCATACCTGGAAACAAAATGGTGACGTCGTAGTGGTAAATTTTTTTGACGTGACAACGTCTTATAATTCGATGGAGCCCGCTGCACGCACGAAAAAACATGACGCATGCGGCGTTACCTCGCTCTTGACTCATGCGGTGTTACCTCACTCTGAGGCGTTCCATTAAAGGCTTGAAGTGCAAGCGAGAGCGCGGAACGAGCGACAAAGAGGCACAATCGGCCTCCGCGTTCGGCAGCGTTCGTTTGTTAAAAAATAGACATAATTTATTTATTATTTATTTACAAATAAATTTAACTTGATCAATTCAATTGCGATTTCCATTAACCTCCTCTTTATCCATACAAAATATCTATCAAACAAATAAAAGTCTCGGGCAAAATGCTTAATATTCATATTATTCAACATTTGTTTTACACACTAATTCAGTTAATTATATTTGACCTAAAACTTCAAATAGACTCCTGTAGTAAAAAACGGGATCTTAAAGAAAATGCCAATGTTGAACTATGTTACATTATCATATTTAGGTGTACAATGTTATATTGGGAACCAGTGTCCATTTTTTACCAGGAAAGCGAAGAACAGATAAAGCAAATTTTATGCTAATAATTTAACAATCTAATAATTTTTTTAAACAAAGAGATATTGAGTTATTTTAAATTCAGTTTTGATAAATATTTCGTTTAATTAAGTTACATATTATTATTTTTGAAAAACCCTGTTTCGATTTTCAGCGTAAATAGCCAAAAATATATGCATATTTTCCTTCAAGGTGGTATAAAAATATCCCTTCTTAATAAAGAAACCAAAAAAGTCTTACCAACACAAGGTGTCATGCAATAATGATTGTTCGAAATATCTACACGATTAGGAAGATATATGAAAACTGCATCTGTCCAAATAGAACCATAGAATATAAGAAGAATTTTTTTGACAACTGACAACAATTTCTCGTGTATTTCAAAATGGCCGGCTGACTCTTTGGCTAGTCTGTCATTTTCTTTTACTTGTTTTAAAACTTTCCTTAAAAGTGCTCTGTAAAAATAATAAGCATAGCATTTGAAATAAAACTCAAAATATTTCTTGGGTTTTTTTTTTCAATATTTTGTTAAAGTATTTTTTAGAAATATTTGTGACAGAGGAGGAGGAGGAAACAACTCTTCAAAGGTCTTCAAGACTGTAGGGCGATTTCAAAAATATAATATTCTGAAATGTGGTTCGTGTGCGTATTAAAATAATAATGCAATTGATTATTTAAATCTTATTATGCTCAGCGTCTTTCTCCCGTTACAAGTACGATACAAGCGACTAAATTGCACACATGTACACAAAAAATAAAGTACACAAAAGAGTAGTATAAAAGGGCTCCTAGACGGGCCATATTTTCACGAAAATGTATGGTGTAGCATCAGCGAGCATTTACGGCTAAACTATGCAATACTCGGCAATATTTTTAGTATGGCCTATGCTATGGTTTAGTGTCCCAGCCGTTTGGCCGGTAAGATCGCTTTTCAATCGAAAATACTGCAATATTTCTCAGCCATATTATTACTGTCTTGCTTTACGATAAGTGCGTCCTTTTTTCATGCTACGTGTTTTGTTTCTGTTTATTTTGGTTACTAGTACTAGTCAAGCCATGTAGGAGTATGTAGACCATGTTAAGACAAAATAATGAGCCATATACTGTTGCAGAAATATTGCCGAGATATACATTTTTCAGCCATGTGCTGCATTAAAAATTTTGTACTTTCGGAATATAGTGGGCAATGATGTAGCCACATATTTTATTAAAAAGTGTAGCCCGTGTAGAGGCTCCTTAACACGCTTTTGTGATAGTTTTATGAGATTTTTTAAAAGAAGCCCACGAGACGCCATAAGACACCCATGTTAGCGAGTGTCTTGCCGGTCTATAATATTTACGTTCTTTTTTACATAGTATTATTTATATTATAACACAACTTACGATTGTCTGAGCCACCAGTAGCAGTTATTATATGTGAGCAATAATAACAAAACATTGACATTACTCTTGATGTAATCGCCGGGGCTTTTTGCGAATTTCAGTTGAAACATCACATTCCCCGCTACATACACGTATGTAAGGAGACCCACAGACACAACCCAAAAGGGGACTGAAATAACAGACTCTTTACATTAATAACCACGCCCATTTCATACACTTACACCGTTATCACACATAATTATCAGTATATGTCAAGAATTTATATTGCTATTAGTAATTTAACAAAAAACAACTAGTGCAGGAGCAATTTTATTATTATTAGTATTATTACTGTTTTTTGTTCTTGATTTCGCTAGTCGTGTCCGCATGTTGAAGGGACGGCACCGCTTTTCATATTTTTGTATGTAGGCCAATGTTTTTGTGGGCCAAATAAAAAAAATTTTTTTTAGTCCCGTCCGTCTAAAAAGTATATTTATGCATATGGGAACACCTCTTTTCAATTTAACAAAGCAAAAGTGACGCTATAAGGCTTGGTGACCTCAGATTTATGTGTTTCGTGATTATTTGTTTTTCCTAATAGGCATTTTTGGGTCTAAGGTTTCCTAACGATGTTATCCTTCACGAGGGAGTGTTAAATGCGCGTATAGTCCCTTAGTGCACAGCCGGGGTCATCAGGGATGAGAGTTACAAGCTGAGACCACTATGAGCTTAAATTTAACAAGTGTTTAAAAGTAAATACGCTAAATAGTCACCGTTAGCCTTCCGATTAGAACCTAAAGAGGATCCCGAAACACTTGGTATTAGGTTCACAAGCCAAAGTAAATTTTCTATTGAATTTTTCTGCAAACGACATTTAAGTCTAAGAAAATTACTCTTAACATATGATAACATTTTCACGATCAAATCTAGATTAACACAAATCCTCAAAGGGTTTGAATAAAAATATTCACAACTAATTGAGCTATTAAAAGTTGCTTTTAATCGCAGCTTTCTTTGGCTTAGAATTTTTTTCCTTTTTTAAAGACGAAAGGAATCATGGCTGGGTATTATTGGGGAGTAGCTTCACCTGGCTAATGCGTTGCCGGCCTTTGAGGGAGGAGTATACTCTTACTTTGAACAATTGGAGTTTGTATCAGGGAACACCCGGGAGTTGATTTCACAGTTTGTTAGTTCGCAAAACAAAGTGTCTTGTGAAGCGGACTGTGGATGACTTCCAGCCATCATGATGCTGATGAAAATTATAATTAATACGGCTCGTACAGTGTTTAAACGAGATAGGCGGGATCAACCCAAAGAACAGTTCAGAACACTCACCATAGTACACTTTGTAGAATACGCAAAGAGACGCAATGTCTATGCGTAGATACAGGGATCAAGCCGATCAGTTATACGTTGGATATTGACAATTCGTTTGACATTGACAAACTCTTCGCTGAATTTGGTACCAGACCAGCTTCTTCTTTTGTTAGACAAAATAAAACTTTAGTTAAAACTATATTTATTTCTTTTGTTAGACAAAATTAATTGATTGAATCTACTTTATATACTGTTTACATGTCAAAAGGAAGAGACTGGCTGCCCACAACACAGGGAATCCTAGTGTGGGGGCCAGTGCACTTTACCTAATCTAAATACCCTGTATATTGTGTATGATAAAGTTTTTTCTTTCTTTCTTTTCTTTATGTAGATAATATGAAAAGATCGCTCAATTCTCAGGCATAAGATGTCAGAAATATCGTAACCGCTAAACCGACTTTAATTAATCTCTAAATCTCCCCGTCAATGAAAATGTCCTTCTAATAATAATAGAAACAGATATTCAGGTTGAAAATATTATATGTAAAATATATGTTGGAAATTAAAAATTTATTCAGGTTTGTCCGTCAAATTATTTTCATGCGGTGTATCATTACAGGGGCTAGGTGTTGGTATAAAAACTGTGATCAACTATAATAACCTGCAATTTAGTACAAAAAGAATAAAACGTGTGACTTTTTAATATATAATATTGCGAATGTTTATTAAGGAAAGTTTAATTATTATTAATATTAGGATAATGTAAATAATGATTAAGATGCAAGCATGTGCTTGCAAAAAACATAAATTTTTTAGATTTTTTTCTTTATCTTCAGATGCCACTTTATTTCTAAAGATTGGTTGGCAACTTGAATTGCTGGGTATCTTGCGCTAGTCTAAACAGTTCCTCGGCGGATGTGATGCCGGTTCATTCCAACAGAAACAATAAGTCGTATCGATGATGATGCAAAACGTGTCCAAGATATCAACTTTCCGTATTTTAACAGTTTGCCACTTTCGTGTCTTCGACAAGGAGAATCAAAAATTTTGTTATAAATCATTTTCAAGCTGGCAAGTCTAAGTATGATCTATAAAGTTGAGATCATAGCGTTTAAGGTAAAGAGGAAGTGCATTCAATTTAAAATCACTGTAAAATTGTAATCACAAAAATTATAAATGCACAATTCTTATTAATTTATATTAGCGCCATCTATGAGAATTAACTTGAACTACGGCATCTGCCATGTCGTTAAACAGTATAACGATGAGACAACAGATAGCGCCACAAGTAAATAGAAAGTAGGAATGCGAATCATTTGCCAAGGCCTTAGACAATACGAATTACGAATTCATTAGTCGTCAAGGAGACTACCGTAAAATTTATAATTATGGCGCTTATTTAAAAATTGTAATTCTTATAGTTCATACAAAACTATTCATTATCTAGTCACATGACTTGCAATGACTTCGCATCCGATGCAACTAGACATACTATTGACTTGTTATCAGTTCATTATTAACAATGTATTTATTTAGTCATAAGTTGTTATATATTGATAACCATTGCTATATTTGTTTGTTTTGTGATAATTTATACGGTCCTGCACTGAATTCTTTCAACCGACAACCTACCGCATCACATTCTAAGTCTTAGGATTATAAAAGAAATCCGAGAGAAAATCGAACTGCATTCTTACTCAGTGCATCCCATGGCCAATTGCGGTGTCGAGTTCTACCGCGCAATACGAAGGCTCAGCGCATATTGAGAGAATTACATTGAAATCGTATACAAAACACGCGTTTGGTATCACTAGATATTTAAAGTTACAGAACTACTAATGCTTACTTTTGTAAAGACCAAAATCTCGATATAGATACATGTTCCAGAATTCTTTAGAATTGTAATAATTATCTACCATTAGTATTAATTTATTGGAAGACAATTAAAAAGAAGTCGTTTGTATCAAGAATAATAAGTAAATTTCTTGATATAAGTTTGGTTGAAATATAGCAACAAAGTAGCCAATACCAAAGACTAACAAATATTTTGAATTCATTTTTAACATTTTTGTTATTCTACATAAAGTATCATCATATTTAATTTTCCTCACTAGTCGTTTGTGGTTTCCATTATCAAACACATTTTTCCGATTAATCACCTTACCACCAAATACCAAAAAATACAGTTTTGCTCACATCCATTTATTAACCAAGCAATTGACTCCTTTCAGAAGCGACGACATCATTCAAAACATTTAAAAAATATATCTTAATAAATATGATATTTACAAATGTCACTAAAATAATTAAAGCTTTATTCTGTATGAAATGCCGAGTCTCGGCGAATCTCGTGTCAACTTCTGTCCGAACTAACACTTCGCACTCTCCGAATAAAATCCTCTACCTTCCGACAGGGCCTTTGACACTCCTGATTTGATTCAATCAAAAAAGGTCCCATGTGATTGTCCAATCCCTCCGCCCTTCGACCACGAGTTCGACTCAAGAAAGGCTCCAAATCCGGATTTGTAGATACTGGATTACCTGCTATCCTTTTCTTTTCTTCCAACGCTAATCTTTCGGCTTCCTTCTGACGCAACCAGACTGGAGAGTTCACATACACCCTCGGTCTCTCTCTCAAGGCGTTACACCTTTCCAAGGCTGGACGTCGTACCGGTATTGGGGGTCGATATGCAGCTGGTATGGGTACTCCTCTACCAATAATGGTACAAAGGAGACCCTTTAAAGCTGCTCGGAAATCCTTCAAATGATACGCGTATAGGAGAGGGTTGATTGCAGAGTTTAGATGCGAGAATATAATGCAAAAGTAAGTAATAGGATTTGGTATATCAAGCTCAGGCATGAATGCTTTGATAGCGTTCATAGTGTATAGAGGTATCCAGCAGACAATGAAGAAGAAAACTATAATGGCAAGATTCTGTGTCGCCTTCACTTCTCGTTTTTGTGCAGCACCAAGCACACGTAGCATTGTTCCGGCACGTCCTTGGCCGCCTTCCACAGTTACCACGGCGCTCATCTGAAAAGAAGAAAAGGCAATATAAATACGTTTTACGTTAATTTGTAATAATAAGTAAGTGGTGGTGGTGGTCAACCCTATACTGTTCTTGCCACAAATTGCTTCTGTCTTTGATAATTTTTATTTTTTAACATAATAGCGGCATGTGTTTATTCATTTCTTATCTGTCTATATTATGTCTATTACAATACTAATAAATGTTTATTTAGCAGACATTAGTCTTCAATTAATGTGTTAGTAACTATAATTTCTTAAAAGCTACTTGTAGTTGAATATACAAGAAAGTTGAATTGGTTCAGTATTGAGGTAATCCGTTAAATACAACACAAATCTATCCTTTTTATAATATTATGTATTGCTCACTAAATATTCACTTAATATATTTACTATAGTGTGATATCCCGTACGTCTTTTTAGCTCTTAGGTATGACAGTAAGCGCCAGTGGTGTAACAATAGACTGGCAGGGCTGGCAAAATGCCACGGGCCCCCGACCCAAGAGATATTATGTTCTATGGATGAATGTTAAGTCTCCAATACGCATTGGGCTAGCGTGGGGACTAACAGACCATACCCTCTCGCCTAAGAGAGGAGGCCTATGGCCATTAGTGGGACATATGCAACGTGTAATTGAGTACGCTGAAAATCTCGAAGTTTATTAAAATTAAACTGAATACAACGTGACGATTTTAACTAATAGGGCCCCATCAAAAGAATTTGCCACGGGCCCCAGATGGTATAGTTACGCCACTGGTAAGCGTAACCCCGAATAACCAACAGATCAAGCGACGCAAATGGAAATGGATAGGGCTATACACTCCGAAGGGATCCCAATCATATTCCCAAGCAGGCGGTTTATTGGAACCTGCAAAGAAAGCGGAAGCGTGGCTGTTCTAGGCAAAACTGGCGCCTTATTGTTGCAGATGAGGCAAAGAGAGCCGGAAAGACTTGGAGCGAGGTGAAATACTAAGATATATATATATAAGACCGAACGCGATGGACCACCCATGGCCCTCTGTCCCATCTAGGGGTTATAGGATATAAAGTCAAAAAAAGTAAGTTTTGATTAGCAGGGCAGCTTCTGGGCATGGCTCTAGGTTAAGAGTAGATCGCTACTGAGCCAAAACTAATACAAAGATATTAAACGTAGAAATTCTCATTATTTTCTTAAGAACATTTTTACCTAAAGAAATCATTGGCTGCGAAATATACAAAAGCAAGAGTTTAGTAATATTGTTTCGGATTTTCCTTATCGGAGTAGGTATATATTTTCCGCTTGAAACCTTACAAGAACAAGATAAAGGTAACGAATTTATTTCTTACTTAGCCTTTGTTTCCTATCACAGATTCATGTTATTATTATCTTATGTTGAATCACTACTTCTTATATTTGTTCTACAATAATCTTATAAATCATGTTTGCAAAAATTCATTTCTAGTACTTTGCGGTTAAATATTTGTCACGAAATAGATCGACACTTGATATTAATCACCCACTAAGCATAGATAATTTTAAATGAGTTTATCCTTGAAATAATCGTATATGCATTATTATAACTGATGTTAAGTGATACCGCCCGCCGCCCATGGACACTCGCACTGCCTCGCAAGCGCGCTGCCGGCCTTTTAAGAATTGGTACGCTCTTTTCTTGAAGGACCTTAAGTCGAATTGGTTCGGAAATACTTCAGTGGGCAGCTGGTTCAACATAGTGGTGGCGCACGGCAGACATTGCCTTAAGAAACGCTCAGTTGTGGAACGACGGCCGTCAAGGTAATACGGATGGTATTGTGTATTCTGCCTTGACGCCCGATAATGAAACTCAGCTGCAGGTATTAGTGCGAACAACTCCTCTGAACACTACACGGTTAAGATCCAGAGAGATCCCACATCATTATAAAGATGAATGTGGGTTTTAAAAAGACTTCACGTCATGATATAATTTTTCACAAAAAATATTTTTTAAAGCATTAATCTGTCTCTCTTTTTATCAAACCGTAATAATAATCTGATAGAACGAGATGTGTTATTTTTCCTTATACATAGGTGTTCATATGCGTAATATTAAACTTTAAGGAATGAACATAACATTAATGTTACCATATTACACATTAAAATCCCTTAACTACGTCAATAAGGTGTGTGAATAGAAACATCACGCCCGTTTCGCTGATAATTAATTTTAACTGTGGTGTCTTGAAGTCTGTGCTGTCAACTAATTTCCGTAGGTTTTATAAATCTATATGCTAATATTATCTGTACTTTTGTAAATAAACGCTGACGTCACAAGAGAAAGTATTGCGAAACCCTTTCGAACAATTACGCAGAAACAAAAAAGTTGTTTTTTATTTGACATAATATTCTAATTTAAATTGTGTGCTATATAATAACTTTAATGTTTTTTAATTATTATTTTTTTGCATTTGAATAGGTTTTTACTTAATATTATATTTTAATTATTTATTATTATACACATAGTTTATAAATGAATATAGTAGTTTGATTTAATCACAAACACTGTCCACCAGAACGCCGTAGCATAAAACGCATTCGCTGACGTCACAAGAGAAAGTATTGCGAAACACCTTCACACAATTACACAGGAACCGTGTTTTTATTTGACATATTCTAATTTAAATTGTGTGCTATTTTTTAACGAACTTTTTTGCTTTTTAATTACTTTTTTGTTTTGTAATTATTTTGTGGTATTTCAACAGGTTTATACTTATTTATTACTATACATATATATTATTATTAAATACATAGCAATAGGTTTTTACTTATGAATGTGTATTTCTAAAATTTATTATTATTAAATACACATTTTATTCAAAATATCGTAGTTAACACAAACACTGTCAACAAATTTATTTACCAATTATAAAATCTTCACGCAACACAACAAAATAAAATTTGTGGGCCCAATGTACATCATAACCAAGCTATTGAGAAAACATTGATACAAAAAAAGTGTAGATAAAAATCAAGTATTTGATATTATATATTATTTTATATTGTGTATTTAAAATATCAGTGTTAAATTATTTTAATTTAACAACAAATTTTGACATACACGTAGACATATATTTTCTAAACTTTGTGATTTTTGAGTTTCAAAGACAATATACTGACATAAAATAAGACTTCGACATGTTATTAACTAATCCCGTTGAATCGCGCAAAAAGCTGTCTTGGTCTAAGATCCCGCTATACAACGACCTTCACCGAGATGCTTATTTAATGAAACTTATTTTATATATAATTTAATATGTCAATAAATATAATCCATATGGGTTGCCTAGAAAAAATTTCAGTCCAGAGTATGTTTAATTAATTTAAAAAAAAAATATTTTTTTAAACCTTTCACCGGTATGATTATTAGATAAATTCTATACCAATCGAACGTATGAAGCCCATAGAATATGCAAACGTTAGGTTGTTTTTAATCAATTAATTATTTATGTGTATATTTTTTATGTGACACTAAAGTATATATACATCTTTAGTATAAAAGAAGGTTATAGTGATACATATATAATACTACCCTGATTAAAAATATTGATTGAAAAAAGTTCAAAAAATTTACTACATGCAAATTATAAAAAAAAATTTTTTTTTAATATTAATTAAACATACTCTGGACTGAAATTTGCTAGGCAACCCATATGGATTATATTTATTGACATATTAAATTAAATATAAAATAAGTTTCATTAAATAAGCATCTCGGTGAAGGTCGTTGTATAGCGGGATCTTATACTATCTCAAAAATAGAAATATCTGCGCATACTCCCCACGTTTTTCATACGGAGATATTTTTACCGATTCAAATATCCTCGATAGACTATTACGCAAATGTTTTTATCTCTCATCTGTATCTAACGACGAATTAATATCTTACACATAAAATAATCTTTATAGGGCCTTCATCAATACCGTCTTCACCATAAGGGCACACGGGGCCCGTGCCCAGGGCCCCGAAAGACCAACAATTTCTCTCCCACAATTAATCCCAAAACATTTTTGTCGGGCACTTTACACTTTTTTCACCAGTCAGTAATCTTATCAAGGTATTTACAAGGCATATACTACGCCATTATATCGATTACTGCGCCTATTCCTACTGTACTAATTAATAAGGATATTATATAAGATTCAAAGAAATCTCGAAAGAAACCGTTATCGTAATCGTAACCAAAAAACCATCATACTGTATTTGATGACCTATAAATGGTCATACTTAGTAAAAATTGTTTATTATAATTAGCTTCTTTTTTACTTTCCAAAAGGGCCCCAAATTCTTGTGTGCCCAATGACCCCAACCTAGTTTAAGATTGCCCTGGACTTCATGCTTTTGTATATGACTAAACAAATCAATACTTAATACTATATTTCTTCTCAAAGGCCCGGTTTTTAAACTTGTCTTTCAAAAAAACTCCCGTTGCAAACAGGAAAATAAGCTTTCACCTCTTGATATATGTATTCATTATTTTATGATCGATACAAGAAATATACTTTTTGTGCATTTTGTAGTCGCCTTTATAAAGGACGCAACTCAAACATATATAAGATATATATGTTTGAGTTGCATCTGGGTTTTTTGGTGGATATTTGATTGAGCTCTTGAGGTCAACCATGCGTCATCAGACTGAGCCAGTTATCATTTAAATTGTTCAGAAATTTTGATGATAAAAATGTTTGAAAAACTTTTTGTATGGTACTAGAATGCCCCCTTTGATTGTTATTTCATACATATATAAATCGGAGTACCTGGCTGCGAGCTTGTTTTCTAGATCTTTCTAGAAAACAATGCAATAAACGAAGAAATGTATATTCTACGTTCATGTTTCGCAAACAAAAAAATATAAATAAGTATTATTTATTTATTTTATTTAACCTTATTTCCTATCATAACAGTAACTAGATAAACTTAAAATTTAATACACCATACCTTTTAGTTATGCAATAAAGTTTGTTACTACACATAAGCTACACATTTTTGCCCTTAAATCAATCAATTGTAAATTAGTTCGAATTGGCATAGCCATTATTGGTAATATGACATCTCTAACAAAAATAACAAGAAAAACAACCTTCCATTTTAAGATTTCTTATTAACAGAGACGCTGTCTTAAGAGGTAATGGATCATTGATAACGTCATGTTGACTTAACACGAGTTAGGCTGCCGCCTCGAATTTTGCGGGCAGCGGGGCGGCGGCGGCTGAGGCGCGGGAGCGGGCGATTGCACCTCTCGTTACCCGCCCTCGCGCCGCTGCCACGCCGCTGTTTTCGAGAACCGGTCCATTTGATTTTACGCATAAGATCCTGCCGCTCCCGCGCCGCCGCCGCTGCCGCCCCGCTGCCCGCAAAATTCGAGGCAGCAGCCTTAGAAAATCATACGAGCTATGCTTTATTTCAATTTATTTACCGAATAACATTACGCCAATTTTCTTAAACAAAATCATGAGTCGTACTTTAATACGAAACTAAAAATGCCTAAGGAGCAGAATTCTTTAAATAACCTCTAGCCATGTTGTACGCGTATAAAATCTTATTGTATATTAATTCACAAATAACTAACTTTCAAGAGTGGAGAAAACTATCAGGATTACGGAGCTGACATCCCTTATATGAGGAGAAAGGAAAACTATTTTCGGTAATATAGAAAGAGTACCATGAAATTGTTTTGATTCAAAATCTCAGAGATGATCACCAAATTGCTGTCTGCCGATTTCCGAACCAATATTAGGAATAGAGTGTTTCCTTAACTTAATCCCTGGTCTATAAAAAAAGTGCGTGCGTACAAAGTACACATGATAGGAGTAAACTTCTTTGTAAATTAATTATTGAGTAATTAAGCTGCCCAAATCCCATAATTTAATTTTGCCAAGTCTTTCTATATTGTTACGAGCTAGGGGATCGGATAGAAACGCCGTAAATCTCTTCAAGGGTTTATTTTCAATTAAATCTACGAGGAATTTGTTAACACTATAAACTTGAAATTACGCACAAAAATTCTATAAATACACACACAAAATACTGTCACTAATTACTCTAATATCGCGCACTTCACACAGTACTTGTATTCACTTTTCTTCACTATATTCGCACTTTGTCACTCCGGTGTTTATCGCTTGGTATCGCATTCAAAACTGAACTAATCGGTCGCGTTTCGGCTCGCTTATATATCCCTGGGAGCGATGTTCGAGAACTCTCTAGGCGGCAGTGCAACTGAGTAGCGATCGCACAATTCTAGAACGTGCGTACTAGCTATCTCTTTCGCACATTGCTCCGTCCTTGTCGTACGGCGTTCTAGAGTGCTCGGTCTAGCTTCGAGAAGGTTCCGATCTTCCCTCTCTCTCGCGTATCGTTCCGTCCTTGTCCCACACCTAGAAAATTCGTTCTAGAACATTCCTTCGTCAAAGGGATATAACCAGGCCTGAAAACGCCTGAAAACGGGTTTCCTGAAAAGTGTACCATTCGACTACACGTGTTCTGAAACGGCCTGAAAAAATGTTTCAGGCTCCTGAAAACTAGGGTAACATTATGTAAATTGCGATTTTCTAATATGTGATTGACCCTCCCCTGAAACGGTCAGAAATCACATTTCAGCCTGCTGAAAAGTTCTCTAAGTAGTGGAAAAATCTAAAAACATTGCAGTCGACCCGTCTTCGTAACAATATTAATGAATGATACTAAGGCTAATTAAAAACCAGAACTAAAATTAGTAACAATTACCAAATAATATAACAAATTCATTACTATGATAATTGCTAACTTATGTCCAAATTTTCTAAAATAGCCAACTGGGTCAAAAAAGGCCTTGAATCTAGGCCCTTATAAGAATACAAAACCAACAAAATACGGTAATTTTGGTATTTAATCTTAATATATATATTTCTTGTGTGCGTGTGTATGTGACTGAACTTCTCTCAAACGACTGGACCGATTTTGATGAAATTTTTTGTGTGTGTTCAAGGGGATCTGGGAATGGTTTAGATTCACAAATCAGCCCGGCAGATGGCACTGCAGTCGGTACTTTCATACTTTGCTTAATATCCTAATCGCTTTAAATATCATGCAGGACAACGTCTGTGGGGTCCACTAGTAATATTATAATAATGATATTGATTTGAAAACACCATCGGTGTTCAAGTATGAATAATTGCACCATAATATTATACATCACATCTTTATTAAAGAAAAAAAAATCGACAAAAATGCTGCACATCATCGTGGCGATCCAAAAGTTTTTCAAAAATTTATGTAAGTCTATATGTCCAATAAAGTAGATTTTACCTGTTTGACCACAACTCTATATATATGGGTATAGAAAGCCGCCAACAAAACGCTAGGTGTCACTATCGTCGCGAAGTACAGGAACAGCAGATAATTGTAGTCCATCACTTCTACGAAGTAGCAGCCTGGTGATGGCCCCACGGCTGCATGCCACCCCAGTAATGGCAGGAAGCCTACCAAACCGCCAGCCACCCAGCATACTGATATGATACCTGGAAAATACCAAAGATTTTGAGAAATATAACATTTTTATTCAACGCAACGCAAATTTAATTTCTGAGGTTAAATATACATATAATATGTAACTATTATACATTTTGTAGTGACTGATTGTCCATATTCGGTGATTCACATTACATATGTACGCTATCATCTATATGATACACTATAACACCTCTATAGATGTTATAGTTATTTTAACGTTATTTATTATTATATATCCATTACAGCAACTTCAAATATTTCCTACAAAAATACGTTCGTTACAAGCCGATGATCAGACTTCTACGGCTGACACCCGTTGTTGACTTTTTGAGACTAAGGCATGCCGGTTTTCATTGACATAGTATTAAATGGGTAAATAGACAGAAAGTCCATTAGTGCACAGCCGGGAATCAAACCCACAACCTCGCACTAGGCCATCACTGCATATTTACAAGGGGAGTAAAAAACATTATTATGTTTACATTAAGTCACGCTACATCCCTTCAAGGGTATTGCCCTCAGATTTGTTTCACTGATAATGGTTTTTTGCCCAACACGTTGTCAATTTCTTAGTAAAACCAAAGACAATATAACCTAGAAACAACCACAGTGTAAGACGGTTTTCTAGTGATGTTTTCCTTCACCGTTGCGCTTGGAAATTGCGCACATAGAACAATCTGTTGATTCCCAGAATTGAGTCTCAGCCAAGATATAACATACTTTCGTAAAGATATAGAGTTTACTACTAGCAGCGTGTATTGGTATTGCTACTTAGTACTTACATATATAAGTCAATTTAAATTCTAAATATAATAAGTATTGTATCGTTTGGATAAATCCAGCGAAATTTATTTCATTTAGTGTTTCAGTCTGACCTTTTATTAAAGTTAAATAGCACGACAATTATAAAATGTGAACTTTACACGCGATCTCTTCGTTACAATTTAATAATACTTCGTTCGTAGTACACATAGGTACAATATTAATACCAAATACTTAACAAAATTCCGTTCCTCTATTGATATAAATGAAGGATAGAATACAGACGCGCGAGTTTTTTATCGAACATTCTAGTCAGACCAGACAGCTGTTTTTATGTTTGATAATTTTATGTTTAGTATCATTCGCCTATTTAGACGTAATCTCATAAAATGCTTACAAATATTTAAAAAAAAATAGTTTTTAGAAAAGAAGATAAGATGTTAAATATTTTAGATAATTTGAATTCCAAAAAAAACTGTATTTTTATTTAAATCGTGAGCAAAATCATTATAATTAATCGCGTTTGAAACTTAAAAATGTTAATGATCCCGGATAAAAGTTCGTGATGCGAGATTCCATAACAAACCTTGTAAAAATGTCACAAACCATTTCCTTACTTTCTACTTGATAGAAATAAAGTCTAAGCAGACCGTAACTGTTCCACCTCATTGTATATTATACATACCTCATTGTAATTTTCAATATTTACTTTCTACTATACCATAATACATATATACTCACATCTACCATGGCTTGATATATAGGTACCATATTTATATACTATTTTATATTATTATAAGTGTTCACTAGACTAAATGTATAAATAGTAATTGAACAATTATATCAATCGAATTATTCTTAGAAAACTATTTATTTATTTGGATTTAAACTTTAAAAAACACCAGTTAGCCTAATTTAAGTTCTTTTTTTCTGCGGGTATTTGCTGATTAGCACTAAGGCCATGAGCGAATCTGTTCTATGGTGCTGTCATGTGAAGTGGCTTCCCATTCGAAACATCTACTCATCTGCCTAGAGCGAGCCGGTCGTCTAGCTCTAGAATATGGTGACGTTTAATCGTCTCATATACTGTTCACCATGAGTTCGCAAGCCAGTTCGTTCGGGTGACAGATTAAACGCTCTTTTTATTTAGCTGCCAGTCTCCGGAATTCCTCTTTGATTGTTCTCATTTCAAGTTGTTCGTGAACTTCGTCCCATGGTACACTTTTGAAAGAAGTACCATGAAGTAGTGTAAAGAAAAATTTAAGCAGACTTTAGCACGCTTTAGTTTCTTTGACCCTTTTTTAAATCAAGTCAGTGATCACGTGCCTGATAACCCAAAACTATGATTGTTTAGCCAAGAATCATATTAAAATTTACTATTGATTTAGTCTAAACTATAAAAACGCGCGTATTTAAGTTGCGTGACATACTTTGTAAATTATGATCACTTAACAGTCATTTCATAGGTGTGACCCCGCCATTAGTACTTTTATTACGCGATCAATACTTCAAAAATGTATTTATATAATATGTAGGGTAGTAAAAAAAAATATTTTTTAATTTGATAAAAAAACGAGTGTTCATTTGCAGGTGAGGGCATTATTTCAAATATATTCTACCTGTTTTATTTCTAGACTAGATCTTTACAAAATCACAATAACAACGACCTTTACAGCGGAACTGTACCGACGGGGAATTAACCAAAAATTATATTATAGAAATATTGATAATTCTATACTAATTATTTTAATATATCATTTCATTAATTATACGGCTGTTAACACATAAAAATTTCAACCAGGGTGATAAAAAACACGGTTTATTTTCAAACTGTTTTAATCATGGCAACCTGTATGACGATAAATTGTATAAATAGCCAGATAAGCCCCTTGAAATAGGTAAGTCGATGTAACGAGCACGCCAGCTTTTAATTAGATAAATTAATTTAAATCTACAGATAAGGAATAAAAACAAACTTCGTAACACAAGTTTATTTACACTACAAATACTTTATAAAATATCACATATAACAATATTATAAGATCTAAAAGTAAGTACTAGAATAAGAGTATAAAACGTCTTTTGAGAAAATCGAGGCTGCATATAATAGTACCATTTATTCAGACTTACAATACAAAAGATCAAAATCGATAGATGTAATTTATTACAAATTAATGCCTTAACGTAGGGAAATATAAATTTTCATGTGGTTTTTAGTTTGATAAATTCGAAAGTGAAAATACGCTTAATGGACCTATCGATTAAGAACTAATTACGATTGAATTCGTTAAATTAATGAATCACTAGCATACTTAAAATGACTGTGATTATAGTAAAAACCGGTACGGTCCTTGAGGCCGAATTTTTCTTCAGAGATTGGTCTGCATAGGACTGCAAGAGACGGCAGGGCACAGAACGCTTCATGTTTGACGTCGAGCTGTGTCTTATGACGTAACATTGCATCCCAGGTGTCACTTCTACGGGCTTCCCCTTTACATCTAAAGCGCTGGTTACTGTCGTATTGGTAGTTGTTATTGTCATAACAGATGACGTGTTATTGACTGAGCCATCGCTCGTTGTATTACCTGCGGTGACGTCAGTCACATTATAGGGGACTAATGTTCCATTGGGCAACATTTCATATAACGTTTTTACGTGCACTTGCGGTGCCTGTGACGCAGGTGCATTCACTGTCGTTACATTAGTCGTGGTCGTCGTCACTGTCGTGTTTACGGCGCCATTTTTAGCTTTCGCTTCTTCTTCGAAAATGAAACTTGTTATTAACCGACAGTCGATTTTCGTTTCCTCATAATCGCCGTTTTCCTTTTTAATGCCAAACTTACAGACCTCGCCTGGCTGAGGCTTGTAACTTGAACTCGAATGACCCGAATGGCTAAGAGCGTATGCGCCTCCGGCTAGTGTTCCGAGGTTAAGCAATGCTAGTCCGGCCAATAATGTACCATATTTACTTCCAGAGTCTTTGTATTGATAGACGTAGGTGGGTGGTGAGCCACGGTACACGGGATAGCTTACGGGAGCCCCACCGTGGACCGGAGTGTACCTGATTTGTTGTGGGGGGCTGTAGTGGTAATGATTGTGTATATTGGTTGTTGTATGGCCTGCTCCACTGCTAGGTGAATTCCCAGACAATCCTTTTCCTGCGGGATAACCATGGCTTCCTCCGGAGGAAGGATATGTATGACTGCCACCCGATGAGGGATTCGAGTGACTGCCTCCCGATGAGGGGTATTTGTGGCTACCTCCCGATGAAGGATATCCTGAACCACCACCGGATAAACCACCGGAAGACGGATATGAATGGCTGCCCGATGATGGATATCCGTGGCTACCTCCAGACAATCCACCGGAAGAAGGATATGAATGGCTGCCTCCACTGCCCGAATGGCCACCAGATTTGGGATAACTGTGACTACCACCGCCAAAAGTTCGTTTACCTTCTAAAGGATCCGTAACGGACAATATAAGAATAGCACAACATAATGCATAAATATAACGATGCATTTTGACTGTAGCAACTGTGATAATTAAACAATTACAAGCAAAACACAAGAAAAACACGGACACTCGCGCGCACTGTATGATTCAACTGAATATATTTTGATTCATGAAGCCTGGCCTCGGGCCTTGCGTAAACTATTAACTACGTATTAATTATTATTAAACATGGCAGGTTTGGCAGCTTGACAAATGTCAAAGATTTTTCAACCAATACACATTAAATACACACGCAGCTGCACGGTGCATTGACCAATTACAAACCAGACAATTATATAGTTGCCAGCTATAAAAAATATAAAATAATACTAATGAAATTAAATATTAAAATCATATGTGCTAATGATTCATGTAATTTAATATTACTTTCTAAACATACCAAACTGTTTTATCTAAACTTATTAAGAATCTTTTAAAACACAGTCATGTGATTACATTATTTTTATAAATGCGCCATCTATTATTAATGTGTCGAACTTACATAATACTGAACGAGGAGCCAGGAGGTTGGTTTGTGTCTGGGGTTGATTTTATTAGGTAGGTAGGTATTGAAAACATGAAAAGGTAATATGAATGTCGCTTACGTTTCTTAAATTTAAATAATATAAGACCAGTGATCTATAATAAAAATTAATTAGAAATTACTATTTAACCTAACAACGGCAGATAATAACATTATGTATTATGTAATACATATCAAGTATTTCATTACTACCTATAGGTATCATAGTGTGGAGAAAAACGACATCCTGTCAAAATCCAAAATGTTTTTGAAAGTGAAACGTTGGTATTTATTTTGATAAGGATCAATACCTAGGTACGAATACAGAGCGTTTTCTAGCGGTGGTATTTTAATAATAAAAAAAATTAATAAAATGACGCTTATTGTGACGTAACTATAAAAGATAAGAGACATGCTGTCGCGACATTTTTTTATAGATAGTGATATGTCCTGAAAAATTGAAATACATCATTTTGTTCTATCTAATAAATATATATTATTAGTTTTCGCAGCGCACGCGATTGAAGGAAGATTTTTGTTTATTTTTTTACACCTTGGGTTAGATTATTCAAGTTTTAGTAAGCATCCCTATTTTTTTGAAAATGAAACATAGCCTATGTCACTCGGGAATAGTGTAGCTTGCCAACGGTGAAAGAATTTTTGAAATCAGTCCAGTAGTTTCGGAGCCTATTCATTTCAAACAAACAAAAAATCAAATCTTTCCTCTTTATAATATTAGTATAGATAGAAGAAAGTCTTTTTTGTTTTACCCAAGGTAACATAGTTACTTACGTTAAACTTTAGGTACGCATATTCCTATTTTGTAAAAATTTACTAGATTGGATATTGTTGTATATGAAACTTAAAATTAATGAAACCTCGGGCAACTAGAATCAAACTACAAAAAGATTACGTACATGCCCATAAAAATGTAAATAAAACAGATGCGGAAACATGCCTGCAAGCCAGTTGCTAGTCAACCTTCAAACAATAAATTGTATATAAATCGAATTATTCGGGCCTTTTAAATATTTTTCGTAACAATAGACACTAAATTGAAGCAATAATAATTCAGCACTCGTAATCATTCAACGTGAAGGTTTTGCATTACCTTTTACGACAGTTTAGTTACCATAATGGCAGCGTCACCACTGCTCACGTAAAATGTTTATATCTTTGTTATTTACGCATATTTTTCTAAGTGTCCACGGCAAGGAGGTCGACAAACCCTACGTCGTATTCCCTGTACCGTTGGACTTGCCTCATCGAAACGAGAGGGCAGAACAATGCTGGGTAAGAATAGAAGACAATGAAATACTAGAGACGGTAGCTGTGTACTGCTACATAGCGCAAGGTTTTCTAAAAAATCACATCTATGATTATAACTCTAGGAAGATGACAGATGACGATATCGATGTTAGTCTGTGGAGTGAAGAGCCGAGAATTCCAGAGATTAACCCGCCAAAAACGATTAATAGAACATCGGGCGTTGTTGACTGGAAGATTACCACCATTTTGGATCCTATCACACATTTGAGGTTGTATGTAACCCAACATGCCGACTGTAGAATTATAATGTATAGCAGAGAGGCGGAAACTAACTATAAGGTAGACTGTGATAAAATTTTATTCTTTATTAATGAGCGCATGACGAATGGCGCACAGTTACGCAATATAATAACTAAATTGCCTGTGATCATCTTAATTGTTATTTTCTTTATACTATAGATTTACCGAGTATGTATTATGTATTTGTTATATATGTGTAGACTACCATACAATGAAACGAGACATAGTCTTTACAGCTGTTTACATATGACAATATGTTGTCAGTATTTGTTAATATTTTTAAAATAAAATTTCGAAATGGCAGCGTTCTTTTGTTATATTTTAAAAATTCGTAAATGCTTTTAAATTAAAACAAAATATATATCGTCACTGTAGAATGATAACCTCGTATGTCCAGAGAAGCAAACATTACGGGAAACGAAAAAACTGTTTCATTTCGTCAATGTTCGTTATAGTTTTAGATGGTAAAAAGGACTTATTTATTAGTTACATAAATAAGTCCTGACTTCACGATTATACCAGTTAAATGACATAAGAGTCTAAGAATAAAAATAAATGTTTTTTTGACATACGAGGTTATCATTCTACAGTGACGTAAAAGTACATCAAACAAGTTGTATTTTCATTATAAAACTAAATGCGTACCTAATACCTATAAATACCCTGACCATACTAAATCTCTGCCTGTAACGAAGAATTATTATAGTGTTATTGGTTAAATAACAATAGATATAACTAATATTATTTGTCATTACTGACATTTACAACGTGATAAACAAGAGCGTATTGTATTAGAAACAATACATGTTAATGAAATATCATTACCATGAATTACACACGTTATCATTATTCAAACAATTGTATACCTTTAATTCCAAACTGAAATTGGTGTGTATTTTGTATATACAGAAACGCCCTAAAATTAAAAGATGAAACCACGTTTCTTCGTTCTCTGATTTCGTTAGGAATTTATTTCATATTGTTGAGCTTAATACTCTTTGTATTAAGGTAATAAGCGAATTCTAGATTGAAAATTTTTTTTTAATGTAATTGCTTTGTACCAAAACCGGTTAAAGTTATTTCTTTTGTTTCCTGTGTATATTACTTTCATTTTGATGACTCATAAAATGTATTTATATATATTGCGCATACAAAAATTTAATAGCTCTAATTACAGAAAACTGATTTTTTTACTGGAACCGAATATTTTTTTACTCATTTTCTGATGTTTTACAGATAGAAGTCTGCAACAAATTTTGTCGATGACTTTCCCCTCTCTCTTGTCATTTATTTATTTATTTATACTTCATTGCCATAATACACATAATTATACATATAGAAAAAAACAAAAAGTAAGTAGGTTACATATGTTATTAGGCAACAGGCGGCCTTACCGCTAACAAGCGATTTCTTTCAGGCAACCCTAAAATGGAACAATAGAAAAAAAGAAACACCTACAGAGGGTAAAGTACAAGAGATGCATAATTAATTAACAAAAAGATACTAAAAATAACATGCAACTGTAACTAAAATTAAATAAATAAAATCTAAAGAAAAGTTATAAATAATAGTATGTATAAACGGACATGTAAGAGCTCAGCCTAAGGTTAATTGACTCACAATTAATATATAAAAGTAGTAGCTAATCACGAGGCAGAAAAAAGATGATCAAAAAGGAGATTTTTAAATAAATTTAAAGACTGAGCTCGTCTGATATGAATAGGTAAGGAATTCCATAGCAGGATACTTTGCACGGTGAAGGAGGAGTGATAGAACTCAGTCATTGTACATTCGGTGTAGCATACTTCCATTTTCTAAAGTTAAACAGCTAATTCGCTGCCTTCCAACCAATAATCGACTTCTGCACCCATAGTTCACACTTTGCTCACAACGAAAAAAGCGAAATTCCGGAAAATGTAGCCCTGTTCTCCCTATCAACAGATACATGTCAGTCCTACTACTGAGGCTGAGAACTGGATGGTTTGTGTATAATTTCGTGCTAAAATCAAACTCAAAAATTATTGTATTGTAGGCAAGGGCGGCAAAAATTTCACAACCTATACCTTAAAAATTTGTTATTCCGCCACTGTGTAAAAAAAAAAGTTTCTTATAATTAAAAGTAATGAATTTTACAATATATAAAACCTTTTTGATTCTCTTTTATTGATATTACTAGCAGACCGGCCAAGCGTTGCTGTGGCTAAGGATTTTGTTATATTACATAGTAAACTAATCAAGGGAAACGGTAGGAGAACACAAGTCATGGAGACCACCATGCCTTTTGGTGGTTATGCCATTAAATTGTAGCTTATGTGAAACGTTGGTACTTTCAACACAGCGCCATCTGTTAGAATTGTGACTGTCAAATAATAAACAAATATATTGCAATAAAATAATATTGCGTATAAATTGAGATGTAAGCTATCCTATATTTTATGTTAGATCAAACTGCACACGGTGTGCAAATTTGATTGAAATCGGTAGGAGTCCATAGCGGATAAACGACGTGACGCGTAATTTATATATATTAAGATAAAAATTAGTTTAACTTGCTTTCTTGTTACTTTAAGTTAACGCTGTAAAATACAGGTGTTTTTCGAGGGTGAATAAGGGCAACCATCGTATTGCGTGTCGGGAAGCGGATAAGTCTAAATTACCGCATCCCGCCTATAGCAATTGCTGGTGGCGCCTTGAGGTTATAGTTATAACAGTTTTATATTTTTTATTGACTTGAATCTTAAATTGAATTATAATAGCTTTATCCTGCCATTAAAACAAAGTCAAAATAATTGCCGGATATAGGTATTGTACATAAACTACGCAATTAGCATACAGAGGAATTGTATTTCTCGTACATAAGATCGTGTATATTTTTAAATGAAAAAAATACTGGTACTAAATTTTTAGTACAAAAGAATTATTAAGCACTAGCAAACAACTTTTTTTGTTTTCGGATGGTAAGTTAGGATTTTTAAGACGTGTTTGAAGACGAGACTGACTGAGTAGTCCTTCACGCACGGCTAGGCATAGAAGGCTATACCTTTTCAATTATGGAAGTGACGGTAAAGTATCTGCTCTTTGTCCAAATGAAAAGACTTCGTATAAGCGGCTCCAAAGCGCACTAAAAAGACTTATATAATATCTAATATAATAAATAAAATAATATATATATATATGTATATACAAAGTGAAACGGTTATAATTTTGGTATTAGAACATAAAATATGGGCACCATCTTTTTATAACACTATGTAGAGCCAATTTAATAGACAACTGATCGAAATTTAATAAGGTGACCTTGTAATAAAACGGTTTCTTTACTTTGTCTTAACTTTTTTCAATTCCGATTACACGTTTATGGTATAAAAGATAATATTTAGATAGGTTTACTTTCACAAATAAACTATTCTAAACTTCAAAAAACAATTTCTGTTCTACAAAGAAATCAATGTCGTTACTATTGTTACGAAGACGGGTCGACTGCAATGTTTCGTGATTTTTCCACTACTTAGAGAAGTTTTCAGCAGGCTGAAATGTGATTTCTGACCGTTTCAGGGGAGGGTCAATCACATATTAGAAAATCGTAATTTACAGAATGTTACCCAAGTTTTCAGACGGCTGAAACCCGTTTTCAGGCGTTTTCAGGCCTGGTTATACCCCTTTGATGAAGGAATGTTCTAGAACGAATTTTCTAGGTGTGGGACAAGGACGGAATGATACGCGAGAGAGAGGGAAGATCGGAACCTTCTCGAAGCTAGACCGAGCACTCTAGAACGCCGTACGACAAGGACGGAGCAATGTGCGAAAGAGATAGCTAGTACGCACGTTCTAGAATTGTGCGATAGCTACTCAGTTGCGCTGCCGCCTAGAGAGTTCTCGAACATCGCTCCCAGGGATATATAAGCGAGCCGAAACGCGACCGATTAGTTGCGTCTGATGCCACATTAGACCAGCGTGACAACTGGCTTCACTCGAAACTAGGACCCCTGTTGGACACCGAGCCGAGTCTAGCACCTCTGACGCCGCCTCGCTTCAAATGCATCGATTGGAGGGTCTTTGAGCGGGCCCTCGAGGAAGCACCACAACCGCGGCCTCCCGAAACCCCTACATCAATCGACAATTTTTCTACCATAGTCACCTCGATGCTTCAGAGTGCACTTCAAGCGGCCACCACCGAGCGCCCTCTGCCGGCGACATACCCGCAGCTGCCGCCTCGTTTGCTGGCGCTCATTCGCCGCAAACGCGCACTGCGGAGACGCTGGCAGCAGACCCGCTGTCCGCGCATGCGCGCAGAACTGCGCACCCTCGCCGAGCGGGTAAAGGCTGCGCTCGAGGACCATAGCAACGAGTCGTGGGAGCGCTGTCTCGACGAGGCCACAACTGATTGGGTACGGCTGCACCGACTGTGCAGGCGCCTCAATGGCGCAGCCGACCCGATCCGCCCGCTGAGACACCCGGACGGAACGCTCCGCTACGACGCTGAGGCGCGCGCCGAGCTGTTCGCAGACCACCTTCAGCGGCAGTTCTCCCCTAACCCCGCGGCGGACCCAGCACGCGCGTTAGAGGTCGAGAACGCCGTCGTCGAGCAGCTAGGCGCCCCTCCGCCGGCAGACGAAGAGGTGCTGTTCGTCTCGCCGAGCGCCGTCAAGCGACAAGCAGCGCGGCTCAAGCCCAAGAAGGCTCCCGGCCCGGACGGTATCACAAACGCAGCTCTGCGTCACCTGCCCCATCGTGCGGTGGTGACGCTCATGCGTCTATTTAATGCGATCCTCCGGACCGGGCACTTCCCCGAGCCATGGAAAGAGGCGAAAGTCATTATGTTGCCTAAGAAGGGCAAAAACATTATGGACCCGGCGAGCTATCGCCCCATCTCCCTACTAGCAACACAATCCAAGCTGTTCGAGGCCATGCTGCTGCCGACCATCAGGCGGCACTTCACTCCCAGGCCCGAACAGTTCGGATTCCGGAGCGAGCATTCCACGACTCTACAGCTGTCGAGGGTACTGCACGACGTCGTCTTCGCCTTAAACAAGAAGGAGGTGGCGGCGGCGGTATTCCTCAACATGGAGAAGGCTTTCGACCGAGTCTGGCACGCGGGGCTGGTGCACAGGCTCCTCAGCTCTGACTTCCCGCGGCGCGTGGTGGCGATCATCAGCTCC